CTGGCTACTCCCCTGTTTATGCATGCGGGGATTTTATCTGTCTTCTTCTTGCAGGTGAAGTTGGAAAGCCCGGGAGCCCATGCTGGAACACAAGGAAGTTGGGTGAGGAAGTAGCTAAAATTCTCAACCACTTGAGGTTTCAGAGTCCTGGGAGGTGGTTTGGGTGTGCGAGGAGCAACCATATTGCCACTTGTAGGACTAGGAGGGGTCTGCTGTGATGAACCGCATGTTCAGTCCGTGTTTCACCTGATCTACCCTGATTATACACATGCCCTGAGCAGACTCGTGAAACAAACACGTGCAGCTGAAGTCTGATTTGGGGGAAAGCTGATGTTCTAATGGTCTCCAATGCAACCATGTGTTAAGTCCCAGACAGTGAGGAGAATAAGTAGCAGATCCATGCAAATTCTTCAAAAACATGGATCTGGTTTCTGTGCAAATGAAGGAGGGGAATAGATGCAAAGAATGTTTTCCATGCAGTTGGTAGCTCTTTTTTTCCCCTCCCCTTTCTCTCTCCATTGACCTGGAAATATTTCCTCCTTGTTTCTGTAGGGACAGGAACTCTGAAAACAAAATTGGCTGGTTTTGCTTCTCCCTCCTCACCCTGGATCCCTTATAGGAATCACAGATGTAAGTGCTGCTGGAAGTTCGTATCCATCCAGTTGCTTAGCATGGCCCCATATTGGTACCCCTGGCCAATGTCACCATGGGGACAGGTATGGGACAAGAAAGAGATACTATGGCAGACATAGCAGTTAACAAATGTCTGGCATAGCGTATACCATGCATTCCTCATTCAGTGACAAACAGTCTCTGAACTGATCTTCCAAACATTGTCAGGCTGTCTTTAGTACCTGAAGCTGCAGATGCCTTCAGAAAGCCGTATCTTTCTGCACACATGAACGGGAACACCTTTCTGCAGGATTTTAGTAAGGAAACTGCTTAGTAAAGGTTTGCTCTTTTGGGAAATTCATGATGTATCTCTCTAGGGAATCCTGTTGCTTTCAGAGGTGCTCATTTAAGGGAGAGTGGCCGCGATGACCGTTCCTCTTGCTGCCACGAGCCATGGGCAGTGGGATTTTGTGTCCTCGCAGATTAAACTTGGCCTTTCTTCACTCAGAGTGCTCTTGGATGGGTTTGGCCGTCCGTTGGCACCTTCTGAATTTTGCGGGGTCATACACTCAAAGAGGCAGAAGGGGACTGGACTTTTGGGGAAAGAAATGGTGTTGAAAAACCACCTGCTCCGTACATATTTCTCTGTAAACTTTAGGCAGTGGGCTATGGTAACCAGGTAGTAATTTTACAATGTGAGCTGAAAGATTGCCTGAGCTGAAGAAGTAGGAGCTGTGCTGGCCTCAGCTGGGAGGAGTTAGTGCTGTTAAGCTATCTAGTTTTCCAAGAGGCAACTGTGCTGCATTCTGCATCTTTAATACTGAGATTCCTTATCTTTACAGGGATGATTTGAGATGAGCCTTCAAGGAAAATGTATCTTTCTCTCCACCAGGGTCAACTGTAAGAGAGAATTTGAGGCCTGAAGATTAAAAGATTTGCTCCGTCTCTGATCTGTATTACAAGGACTCTGAAGTTATGTCTAGGAAAGGCTGTACTAAAAACAGGATAATTAAACTAGAATGGATGTGTAAGAGTTGGGTATTTTTTGTACAAACGGACAGTGGTAGAACTGAGGGGGAAATGGAGCTTTCTCAACTCTAATCCACTGGTCTGAATTCAGCCCAGGTCAGTAGTGGCTGTGGTTGGGATTTTCACAGGAGACTTAAGGGAGTTAGATGGCATGCTGTTTTAGGCTCCTTTTGAAAATTCCATCCCTAACCCATTGCTATCTGAAGGCTTTTCAGTTGCCCTGTCTGTGAAATGAGTTAGGGTTTGACCTCATGTCTGAGATACAATATCTGTCCAGATATTTTTAAAGCTCCTAATATCTGTGGACTTGTACAAAATTGATAATCCGGATGGTTAATCAACATTGGTCTATTTACTGCTGGGTCCAGAATTACTTTCCACTCTTCTGTGAATTTACTTTCCCGTGTCCACTGTCTGTTTTCTATTACCAACACCATTTAGGTTAGGCTGAGATTTTCAAATGCATACAGGATTTAGACACTTGGTTCCCATTTAAAAAATTAATGGGAATTTAACAGGCAAATACCATAGATTTGAAAATCCTTAACCTAAATGTATTTAAACTACCTCTCCCTCACCCTATAGGTGCACACTCGCTCGCCTCACACCAGCGCAGACCCTTATTTCATGCTCCCAGTGTTGGCATCCTCTATCATCCTTTTTTCTCTCCACCCCAAATAAACAGATGTAGATCCTTTCCCACTGAGTGGGCAGCCACCACTGCAGACCTTCTACATAGTACAGCTCTTGTGCTGAAGAGCTGGCAGGCAGTGAGAGAGAAGGAGCTGAGCGCTAGGGCTGTGTGAACTGAATTCAGCGACGTGTGGTTTTGAGTTCAGACGGTCCTGGGTTATATGGAAGTCAGGACAAATTCTTAATGTCATGAGCAGAGATGCCAAGCTGGACCCTCAAAACCAGGGCCATCCCAGAAAACATAGGCCATTTGGTCATCAAGAGTTTGAACTAACTTGTGGGGATTCAGCTGAACACAAGAAACAAGCATTTCCCCAAAATCAACTTTAAACCAGGATGAATCTAAAAATTTTGTAATTCTCCAATTTTTTTTTTTTTAACTCCTTATTATGGCAGAAGTTGCAGTTTTTTATTCTTTTAACATTATTGCCTTTTTACTATGTGTGACAGTCTCACTCAATTTGATAGCATTTCCGTGTATTTGTATGTACATGTGTAATGTGATCACTTTTGAACACTATGCACTCCTTTCCAATTTTTCAGGGAACGTTTGAGTTTCTGAGGTCCAAGAACCTGTTGATTTGGGAGTAAATTGGAAAACTGAAAGGGAAAATGGGGGCAGAGAGAGATGGATGGACACATGGAGCCCTTGCCAGCTGTGTAGAAAAACTGCAGATTCAAGCTACTCTGCAATTGACTATAGACTCAAGAACTGATTGATGGCAGCCATTAACCCCTTTTCTCCATAACAATGCCCTTATCTAATTTGTAAAAAGAACGAGGAGTACTTGTGGCACCTTAGAGACTAACACATGTATTTGGGCATAAGCTTTCGTGGGCTAAAACCCACTTGATCGGATGCATGCAATGGAAAATACAGTAGGAAGATACATATACACAGAGAACATAAAAAAATCGGTATTGCCATACCAACTGTAACGAGATTACAACACCCATTTTTTCATGTTCTCTGTGGGAAAAATGGGGGCACGCACACAGCCCCAGCATGGCGAGGAGGGGAGAAGAACTGGGAGTGCACAGAATCTAGTGGGAGCAGCTGCTGGCATGGCGTGAGATGTAGGGAGCCCCTGAATTAGAGGGAGATGGGAGGGTGGCATACAGGGTGCTCATGGAGAAATGCAAAGAGTCCCTGATGTCCACAATAAGCTCAGCCTACACAAGCAATGAAATGTGCAAACCACCAAGTTAAATCCAAATTAACAAAATAATTCAATATAACAGTATTGAACTCTCCAAACCAGATGGTAAGATTTGCAGTTATCAGGTTGGGTGGCTGATTGAATCCACATGGAGTTATTTTATGACATTGTTATTTTTGTGTTGGGGAATGGGGGAGGTGAGACCAGTACAAATCGCCCATATCATGCAGAAAAGCAACATGTTGACATGGCTGTTAGTCGGATCCTATAGGTGCTGTTTTGATGTGGGTTGAGAGGTCAGTGTGTGGGTGGGTGCCATTTTGATAAGGTTTTCATGGGGGACCATGGATGCAATTTTGATGTGGGTTCAGGGGGGTGTACTCTGTGTGAGTGCTATTTTGATATGCATTTGGGCTCAGCGTGCCATTTTGATGTGGGTTAGGGAGCGGACATGTATGTGCTGTTTTCACTGGGATCCCATTTTCATGTGGGGCAGAAGCAGGCATGTGGTGCCCTGTTGACGTGGAGTTGGGAGCAGGTGTGTGGGTGCTGTTTACACTGGGAACCCATGGGTGCCATTTTTATGTGGATCACGAGTGAGTGGGTGCCCTGTTGATGTGTGGGGTGGGAGCAGGTATGTAGGTACCCTGTTAACGTGGGGCGTAGGCATCAGCTCAGCAGCACACTCTGCACAGGGGGCTGCCTGTCTGTGCTTGTCAGCAGGGAAGGCCATGCGCTGCTGGCGCTCACTTCGCCATATCATACCCCTCCCCTGCCCCCCCCAGTCACTGTCTTCGCATGGTGGCTGTGCAGAAGCCAGGGAGGAACTTTTGGACCAAACCATTTCTGTAGAAGGGGATTATTTTGTTTAAACAGCAAACTGAGACACTTTTTGGTGCATTTTGGGATACCAGCCTCTAGTTAAAATATTTTGTAGCAAATTCTGAAGAGCTAGATGTATTTTGCGCACCCGCTCCTCTTCCCCCCTTCTCTACAAGGGTACATTCCACTCCTTCACCCCCTCCGGTACTCCCACAAACAGCGCTTTGGCACCAAAGAAAGGTGGGCGGCGCGAGACGTTTTGGGCGGCTGAAGGGAGGAGCTGCTGCGGCCGTTGGCAGGTGCGAGGGGGAGAGAGTGGGGGTGGGGCCGGGATGCTCCTGGGCGAGAGGTAAGTGCACTGAAGCAGCGGCGCATGCGCAGAGACTTTACCTGCGAGAGGCAGTTGCTCGTTTTCCCGCCTCCAACCGCTTTTAACCGCTGCGTGGTTTAAAAAAGCCAGTTCAATGAGAGACTAACCCCATATCATTTGGGGTGATACTAACTCCTTCCCATGCCCCGTGTCAGTCTTGTCCCCAAATATAAGCGTGTGTCAAATTCACCTCATGCGGTGCCAAGGTACAGCTGCCATTTTGTGAGGGGCCATTTGTGACTCAGTGGGGTTATCAAACCCAATGGGGCAACTCCCCTGTGTACTCCATACACACACACACACATAAAACACCAGGGGTTTTGCCCACTAACCCCCATTGGGTCCAATCAAGGCTGTGCGAGGCACCCGGTTTGCTGTTTATGCTATGCCAAATTTGGCGATGTTGGCTCATGCCAAGCTAGTGTGGGTGGATGCCCTAAAGAGGCCACTTTAAGGACCAAAAAAAGACACTAGTGTCAACCAGACTCACATTAACAGACACATATAAAAATCCACCATATAGACTCATGCCCGTACTCTATTGGCAAACACTCAACAGGAGGAAAACATTGCATCCCAGCCACCTTGAGCCTGCTGCCGTCACAGAAGAGGGGATAGAAACCAAGAGTCCTAACTCGTAACCACTAAACTCCATTTCTCTCCCACACCTGGAACAGAATCCAGGAGTCCTAATGCAGCCCCACCCTGCTCTAACACCTTGGTATTAGTACAGGCCAAACCTGCATTGGTACGCTACAGCAATGGCTCTCAACCTTTCCAGATTACTGTACCCCTTTCAGGAGTCTGATTTGTCCTGCGTATCCTCAATTTTCACCACACTTATAAACTCCTTGCGTACAAAATCAGACAAAAATACAAGTGTCACAGCACGCTATTACTGAAAAAAACGGGAATGGGATTGACACTTAGGTTAGTTCAAAGGCTATTTGGGGGGAAACTGTGTCCATTTTAGTGGCCAAATGGGGGATTTTGGTTGCCACCACTTTTGAAAATTGGATCATTTTTTCATCACAAAGGCAAGAGTCTTCTGAAGAAAAATATCTAACTGGTTATTTTGATGCATAAAAGTGTCAGTGTTTTCACTTCGGTCTTTAGAGTGGAATTTTCAAAGCAGCGTAAGAGAGTTAGTAATTCCATGGGAGTTGGACACCTAACTCCCTTAAGGCCCTTTGAGAATCCCAGCCTGCATGTTTATTTTGCTCTATAGGTTTGGTGTGGTGAGTGGCAGATTCTCTTTCACCAGGTGGTGTATGTTTTGGAGGCAAGACTGTTGCTGTTGGCACCGTTAAAATGTCCACGTGCGAGGACATGTTGCTGTGCAATTACCGCAAGTGCCGTGTCAAGCTCTCGGGCTATGCTTGGGTCACAGCTTGTTCACACATCTTCTGCGACCAGCACGGCAGTGAGGAATTCAGCCATTCACCAGCAGTCTGTCCCGCCTGCAACAGCGCCCTCTCTGGCAAGATGGACATTGTTCGCACCGAGCTAAGTCCCTCTGAGGAATACAAGGCCATGGTGTTGGCTGGACTGCGGCCAGAGATCGTGCTGGACATCAGCTCCCGCGCACTGGCCTTCTGGACATACCAGGTAAACCCATCTCAGATGATGTCCTAAGTTAGGTAGATACCTTCAAACGTGTCTTTTAAAATATAATTGGGAAGAGATTTTGTTTCCTAAAGAAATGAAAGATCCAAAAATCAGTCTTTATGGATATCTATATGTCATACGTGGAGGGCAGAATTGACATCTAGGTGATTCCAAAAGGCCACCATGTTATATTTTTTGGCCTGAAAATGTGGAAAGAAGACAAAGGGAATGGAATAGGTTTAAGAAATCCCAATGTTGGATTTTGTTGTGTGGCCTACGAACCACTGAGAAGGTTGCCACTCACCCTCTGGTTCAGAATCACCAGTGTGGCATTTGCACCTCTCCCTCCCTCCTTCTCTATTCAACTGTTAATGTAAAACATTATTGCTGTATTAGCCATGCCTCTCTTTCTCGTCTGTCACTGTGGAAAGTTCCCTCCATCTCTGATGAGTTTTGTTACACATTCCTCCTTTCTTTCCTCTCATCACAACAGTGTAAAAGCACCTCACAAGCATTCATGAATTATTCTCAACCCCTATGAGCAGTAGGCCAGTATTACTATCTCCATTTCACATGTAGGGGACTGAGGTACAGACATTAAAGCAACATAAGTGTCCACTCATTTTTAGGTGCCTCACATTTGAGTGCTCTACATGAGAGCCATATGACCTGAATTTCAGAGATGCTGTGCACCCCGCAGCTCTTATCAACCTCAGCTGGTGTGTGGAGTGCTCAGCGCATCTGAAAATCAGTCTATAGGGGTCTTATGTTGGCCACCTTTAATTAGTGGTCCCTCTTGAGAATATTGACCTAAGTGACTTATCCAAAGTCACTGTAGTAGCAGTGGGAACTGAACCCAGATTTCCTAAGTTCCAGTCCAGTGTTTTAACTCCAGACCATCCTTCCTTTGGTGCACTGTAGTCATGCTACTATATCTCAAATGGAGTGACTTGACTTTCCTTTGACACTCAGTGGTCAAAGAAGCCTGTCACACCTGCCATAATCTCCACTTTGCAGGTTCACCAAGAGCACTTGTACCAGGAATACACCTACAGCAAGGCCGAGGGACACCTGAAGCAGATGGAGAAGGTGTACACTCAGCAGCTGCAGAGTAAAGACATGGAATTGACTTCTATGAAGAGCGAGGTCTCCTCTCTGAAGAAGGTGCTGGAAGAGTACAAGAAGAAGTTCAGCGAGCTCTCCGAGAAGCTCATGGAGCGCAACTGCCAATACCAGAAGCTCCAGGGCCTCTATGACAGCCTCCGTCTGTGCAACATAGCCATGGCTAATCAGGAGGCTGCCCACGAGCCTCCCATGATGCCTCAGCCTGCTGTCTTTGGCTTCCCATTGGGTAAGACCTGTGGGGGGTTCTCATTCCACTACTCACAGAAGTTGCAAAAGCTGGCATAAGTACTCACTACCCTGACACTGTTATTGGAGGGGACAAGGCTTTAGTGGGCTATAAAGACTGAACTTTTCCTCCACGCCATAGGGCAGGAGGAGGCACATATGTGTGTGTATGTGTTTGGAGGAGGAGGACTTCACACAGAGCAGTCAGTCTCCAAAAGTTGCCATATCAGCAACTTCCAAATGAAATATTTGATTAGACACTCCTGTGTGAGACAAGTTGATAGGTTCTCAGCTGGGACAGTTGTCCACCTTACAAACCTCTCTCACGCTAACAGTCCCCCTCCTTGGCAGCCTCCGTAGAGAGGCCAAGGACTGAATGGGCCATGGAGATTAAGCTCCTTTCTCCCCCACAGAGAGATTTCTCCAGAAAATGGGTTAATCATGTTTTGAATCCCAAAGCTTTGACCATCCCTTGTAACTTCTCCAACCTTAGCTAGCCATATGGTGTCGCCAACCCACAAACTTTACTGTGAATCTCTGGGTATTTGGTGTGTTTAAAAAAAAGGATAAGTTTCTCATGGTTGCACATAAAAGAGGGAAACTGTGACCAATAAATGCTACAGAACCAGAAGGAATTTTTTTTTATAGAACCTCATGATTTTGTAAGCAAATCTCATGAATTTTGGGGGCTGGACTCTTGAGCATTGGCATTTGTCTCTCTAGTGGCTGGTATCTTACCATCAAAAGGTTTACGAATCCAGGCTAATGGATTAAGGCTTAAGTGAGTGTGGCCTTCAAATCCCACCATTTCCTGTGACGATCCCAAACTTAGCCCCTGCATTTAAATCAAGCCGTGGTCACTCATGGTCTTAGATTTGGAGATTCTACATTCAATCCCCAGATTGTCTCAGAGAATCCAGCATCTAACTGACCCTGTAACTCCCCCTTCCTAGGTAATGCTGCCAGGTTCCCCGTGGACACCACGCCGGTCCGGGGCAGGTGTGGGGAGGGAGACTTCCACTTCAAACCCTTCTTTGCCACATCCCCACCTGCGGGCGAGTCTGGCACCAGCTTCTTCACCTTCGCCTCTCCCAGCAACGAGCTGGAGCCTCATCCTGGAGCCAGCAGGGCCTACAAGATGAAGAGGATGTAACTGGTAATGCGCCTTTCACACCTGCCTCTTGGAAATTTAGCCCATCCATCAGTGGGGGAAAGAGCGAAAATGCTTATTGTCTGGGGCTGGGATTCTCCTCAGACTTGGGCTATTTCTTTTAGGTATTGAAATGTAATCACCTGCAAATAGTCTTGCCCTCTCATCCTAGACTGTAATGTCCTGTCACTTCTGATTGTCAATTTCATTGTCACAACCTGTCACCAACAGACTGTCACTCTCAGACTGTAAACCTCTCTCACCCTTGGAATGTCCCTCTCAGATTGTAAAACTGACACCCTCTGACAGTAGTATCCCATCTCTCTTGGACCAAGATGATCCTCAAAGACACCTAAATACCTTTGAAGATCTGGGCCTGGTTCCGTTGTACTCTGCTCAATGGGTTACACGTTCATCGTTGTGTATTTACCTCTGTGTATGTATGTGGGTCAAGTTATGCATGGGTGTGTTTGTATAAATCTAGATAGTTGTGTGTTGTCTGTGTGTGTAAGTCAATATATGTGTTTAAATCTGTGTGTATACTGGTGTGTCTTTCGCTCTTGTGTGCACACAGATATACATGTGGGTAGGTGCCTCTTGCTGTGTGTGTGTGTTTATCTCTGAATGTCAGAGGGTGCATAGCTCTGTGTAGGTGTGTTTTTGTTTCTATATCTATGCTTGTGTTCCTATGTGTGTGTGTGTGTTTCTCAGTGCTATCCAGTGTGTTCCCCGGGTACATTTCATTCCATCCTACCTTTGCAGTTATTTCCCCCCAACTTAAAGTTCAGACGTTATTTACACTCATTATAATCAGAGCAGATACTTCTCTGCATTTGTCTGGACCTGGAATTTATGTGGGACTATTTTAATCAAATCTAGAAATACACAGAAATATATCTTTATTGATTTAACATTTCTATTCTCTCTATTTGAATCTTACCAATCTAATCAATGAATTAATGTAATATATATTTACTACGTTAATATTTGATTTTAACCTGAAAATTATGTAACATACTGTTCTTAATCCAATATTCAATTGATTCTGGAAATTTGTCTGATATAGAATTATTAGGTCAATATTTTAATTGGATCTGGAGGTTAAAAAAAATATAACTACAAATGTCATATTTAAACCAAATCTAAAAATATATGTAATTGTTAACTGAATATTTTAATCAAATCTAGAAATGAATATACGTTAGCTTAATATTTTAACCACATCTGGGGAATACAGTGTATCATTATTAAGTTAGTATTTTAATCAAATCAGGAAAATGTATTTATTAATTTAATATTTTAAGCAAATGTGTACAAAAGTAATATATAATTCCTAATTTACTGTGGTAATGAAAAATGAGACTGTATCATTATTATTTTGAACATAATAGGAATTCATATCCTATATACTTATTAATGTAACATGTTTAACAAATCTGGAAATCATCACAATGTTTACTTATTAATTCAAGGTTTTAATCAAATCTAAAAATTAAAATAATATGTAAATATTTAACATATGATGTGAATATAGAAATCAATACAGCATGCACTTAATATTAATAACTAACTCATCAATATTCATAAGTAAATATTTTCACTGAATGTAGGAATGAATAAAATATCTGATTTTTAATTTATTATTTTAATCAAAAGAGGACTAGATGACCTCCTGAGGTCTCTTCCAACCCTAATCTTCTATGATTCTATGATTCTAGTATATAATTATTCATTTATTATTTAAGTTGAAGGTAGACATGGATAGCATATATAGTTATTAATTTATTTTAATTAAATATAGGAATTGATATCTTTGGTAGTTTTTTGTTTATTTTAATCAAAATTATAATATTATTAGTTTTACATTTTAATCAAATCTAGGAATTAACATAGCACGCAATTATTAATTTTGCATTCCGAGTCTCAACATTAATATAAACTGTAACTCTTAATCTGCCATTTTAATCTAATCTGGAAAATATAATATGTAAATTGTTTGGGACTCTTTTTTGCTTCTGTGTTTGTGCAGCTCCTAGCACAATGAGGCCCTGGTCTGTGACTGGGGCTCTTACCGGTTACCTCAATAATAAATAAACAATTCAATAATCAATAAATAGTATGATTATCAATTGACTATATTAATTTCACATATAAGGATTGTTTGTAGAGTTTAATCATATTGCTATTTTAATACAACTGTTTCTATATTCAATCTAGATTTTCCTTCTGCAGAGTTTTTAGGGTTAATCCACAACTGATGTCGTCTTTGGATCTGTCCAAACTCAAAGTCCTCTCGATTCAATTCTGTACTACTCTTTAGTTAGATGGGGGGAAAGGTTTGGCCGCCCTGAAGGTCCCTGGTCATTCACATCTAATGTTTCTAAAAACTTCGGGGTTTCAGCTGCTCACCTGCAGGGGTGAGGAAGAGACTCCCACCCACCCAAAAAAATCTATTTGGGAGCGGGGTTGTTTGTATTGTTGTCTTCTTGTTCCGAAGCATTGGGATGGCCACGGCTGGAATAGGGACACTGGATAGGATGGAAACCACATTCTCTCTCAAGCGCTCGGTTGGCAGTTCTGTCTCGCATGCTCAAGGTCTAACTTGTTGCCTGATCCTTTCAATAGTCAATAACACTTGTTCTGGTTGCCAGTTGATTTGATTAATAAACTGAGGGTCAGAGGGTTCTTGTTCCAGAATCAGGCTACACAAAACTAAAATCAGCTAATTCAATATCTTGTAGGGAACATCGAGGTGTAGGTCAAAGCAAAGACTTAGAGATTTTTATTAAAATCAGTAATAAAGCCAGAAAAGCTCTGAGCCACATAAACAGATAGGAGAAATATAGTATTGGGGGTATCTGTGGTATCATTCTTTGCATATGCTCTTAGATTTGCATACCTCCACCTTTCTTTGCGGACCTGGAGGTAAGAGACAAAGGACCATCCCTGTCCCTGGCATGCGGATGGTCCAGGTTCCTCAATGCCCAAGATTGATGGTAGATAACAATAGAGATGAAGGGTTAATTGATGGAAAAGCGCCCCCCCCATCTGCACGGTGGGTTGCCCTATTATAGGGCCTGAGCGCCATTATGAATATTCATGCTAATGTTCAGCCTTCTATGCCCAAATCGAACTTCCTCACCCTCTTAATATCAGGGTGAACTGATCCTATAGATTAGAATATTAATGCCATTTAACTCTTGATCCTATGTGTCACCTCTTCCTCAGACAGATTGACAGTTATCACGTCCATGTTCCTGTGGTTGCTGTTTACCTGCCATTGAATAAGCTATCCCTAGTTCCCCAAAATCTAAGGGTAACTGTCAGGCCATTTATCCATGCCAAATGTCACAGGCCAACTATTCTGGACTATACTTCTGCTAATTTGTGGAAGCTAATGTCTTACAGGATACAAGCCTGTAGGTTCCTTGCGTTACAGCTGAATATAATGAAGGCAAGCCAGTCCCATGGGCTACAAATTGGTCACCGTATGTGGGGTGAGGCAGGTATTTTTCCCCAGCTCAGATTGGCGGTAACCTTGGGTTTTTCCACCTTCCTTTGTAGGGTGACCAGATAGCAAGTGTGAAAAATCGGGACGGGAGTGAGGGGTAATAGGTGCCTATATAAGAAAGAGCCTCAAGAATCGAGACTGTCCCTATAAAATCAGGACATCTGGTCACCCTATTCATTTGCTGCATGTGGGTGCAGGTCAGTTGCCAGAACGAGCTGGGTGTATCTCCTTTAATCATTTCCCTGCCATTGTGGGGGCCTTAGAGACTGGTGCACGTCAGTCCCTGCCATTCTCCATCAGTGACACCTCACAGTTTAGCCTCCTGAGGTTTGTAATACCTTGGTCTAGGCAGTGTTGGTGGCCTGAGATCTACAGACGTTGAGAATAGGTGATTTGCTGGTCCATTTTGGCTTTAAACTCTAACCCAGGTGTCCAGATGCCCAACCCCACCGGTCTAACCCACTAGATCCCAGTCCCCTACCAGAGCTATGGATACAACCCAGGAGCTCTGACTACCTACTTCCCACATTGCTCTAACCCACCAGACCAGGGGTTCTCAAATGGGTGTTGGGACCCCTCAGGGGTCATAAGTTTATTACATGGGGAGCTGTGAGCTATCAGCCTCCACTCCAAACCCCACTTTGCCTCCTGCATTTATAATAGTATTAAACATATTTAAAAGTCTTTTTAATTTGTAAGGGGGGTCGCATTCAGAGACTTGCTATGTGAAAGGGGTCACCAGTACAAAAGTTTGAGAACAACTGCACTAGACCCAAGTGCCCTCTGAGAGCTGGAAAAAGAATCCATGAGTCCTGGCTCCCAGTCCAGCTCTCTGACCACTAGAGCTCACACTCACTGCCAGGGCCGGCTCTACCGCCCCAAGCAAAAAAAAGCCCGAACTGCTGAAACAAAAAAACAAAACAAAAACCCTCGGACTGTGCCGCCCCAAGAATGGATGGAATGCTGCCCCTTAGCATGTGCCACCCCAGGCATGTGCTTCCTCCGCTGGTGCCTGGACCCGGCCTTGCCCACTGCCTGTGCTGTGTCAACTCTGGGCATTAACAGAGGCTGTCCATCTCTGAGGGTTCTCTGCCCAGTATCTTTCATGGGCGTTACAGCCACTTAATAAATCAGAGACCAGACTGCAAATCCCTTGGCGGAATTAGCTTGTTTTGATGTCTGAACGCTTCTCGCTCTGGGTATTGATGACCTGGGCCACTGGTGTAGCCAATTAAAGAGCTGAGCTGAAGTTACCACTGGCTCCTGCTTGAAAAGTTGGAGCCAGGCAATTAAAAAGAAAAATTATCTCATCTCCTGAGAGAGCTGAGGACAGATGCCAGGGGTGGGGGCTGTGGGTCAGGACTGGGGGACCACAAGCAGAGAAGGGAGCTGAGTCTCCAGGATCCATTCAGCTCTTGGTCTCTGGCGATGAGCAGAGCTATTCAGTCTCAGGTTCATGTGGACCCCTGCTCAGCTGGGAACCAACCCATTCATTACACATGGGACCTACTGCACAGAGTAGGAGGTGTCACTACTGCCCTGGGGTGACAGAACAGGGAAGAGGTGCAGGTGAAGGGGACTTTGATGGGTTTGATAGAGGGCTCCTAATTCCAGTGGGATTTCTTCCCACATGGGTCAGCCCATTGGGGTGGTTTATTGGGGTGCTAGGGGGAAGAATCTGGGTCTAGCTGAGTGGAAGGGGAGGTGGGACCACCCTAAGCAGAAAGAGCATGGGACAAGGGAGATCGTCCCATTCTAAGGTCCCCTGTCTATGCCTCACATCCCAGCCACATTAGTCCCTCTCTTTAGGGGGAACAGCTCCGTTCTGAGCTCCCTGTATATGCCCTCCCACCCCAGGTGCCCAAGTCCCTCTCCATGGGGGGAGGGAGGGGTCACCATGTTCTGAGCTCCCTGGTCTATACCCCCCAGCCCGGCTATACAAGCCACACCCTTCTCCCCCACTCCATCCATCACCCCTCCAGCCACAACTCTCACCCCCAATCTGCCCAACCTCTCCAACCAGACCCCTCTCTCCACCCAGTCCAGTCCCCCTCACCTCCACTCCCGCCAGCCCGTCACCCGAACTTCATCCAGCCCTCCTGCCTGGCCTGTTACCCCCATTCCATTCAGGCCCTGCCCCCGCCAGGCCCCTGCCCACCACTCCAGCCAGCCCCCAGGAGATTACCCTGTTTATTTTGACAGAAACTGGAAAAACCTGATTTTAAATGGTGAATTTTTCCAGTTTTCCAATTTTCACCCTCGTCCATTGGGTCCCGACCAGAGTGGGGGCTGGAGGCTGACCAGAGTGGGGACAGGGCCCAGCCAGGTGAACAGCTTGGCCTAGAGAAGCAGGGAAGTGTGCAACCTTCTACTTAATTAATAATGATTAACGAGGTGCCGGCTTAGTATAGGACCCACACAATGGAGATCCGATAAAGAGTTTTGCTCTTCCCTTGGCTTGGCAAAGGAGAAACACATCATCCCCCCTCAGTGTAAAGTCTACACTTGGCCTGTGTTCATAAAGCACCTTCTCCCTTTCACCATGTACACAGCACAGGTGAGATGCAACCAGCTCTGGTGCAGGGTAGCTCAGTAACAGCCACGCAGTGACACTGCACGGAGATGTTTTGCCCCTTGCTGAGATGTAGCCAGCTCTGGGGAAGGCTGGCAGGGGAGCAGCCAGTAAAGCACATTGCAAGGGGATGGCTCGCTCAGCGCTGAGGGGTGGGGTGTGGCCCTGCTGCTGCCTGCTGGAGGAAATGAACCCCGCATTGTGTGTGGAGAGAGTGAGAGAACCCAGCACCTCCTAGCAGACAGAGCACTGCCTTAGTACTGCCAACCCCTGATCAGGATTCGCCATGTGCCCAAGGGGCTGGCACTGGGGGCTTTTAATGTGGCCTCATATTGACACCTACCAAGTCCTGTTTGTGGGGGTGGGGGGCTGTGTATGTGGTGAGGAGGTCTATAAGTGTGCGTATTGTGGGAGGGCTTGCGGGGGCACTCTGTGGAAGGCTGTGAGTGAGGAAGGGCAGTGTGGGGGTGGTGGGTATGTGTGAGGGAATATCTTTGTGGCGTTTTTGTGTTGGGGCTGTGTGGAAGGTGGGGTGGGGGCGACTCTCCCCGGTATTCCCCTGGGTGCTCACAGTTCATCCAGGGATCAAATCCAGGTCTGGCTGCTCTTACACACCCCAGAGACCAAGTGCCAGGAGGGACCCAGGAGCTCAAAGAGCAGATATCAACCCCCTCTTGCCCAGCTCCCTTCACAGCAAAGGTGGAGAGAGGAGGCTGAGATCTCACAGCCAGGTGGGTTTTCACACACAGCTTCCTTCTTGCTTCGATTCTTCCCTGGCTGCTGCTGTTCTGCTGCCCACCCCTCCCTGCTCCAACCACTAACCTGGCCATGCACAAGTGCAGGCTGGAAATTAGCAGGAGGTTTCTAACATTCAAAGGGGGAAGGTTTTGCAACAGCCTCCCAGTCGGAGTTGTGGGGCAGGGGGCACACAACTTCATTAGTTTTAAGAGAGGTAGAGAAATGTATGAGTGCGAGTGTATGATGG